CAGCTAGTGTGAGAAAGAGAAGAAGAGTTGCTGCTGCTTTCATGATATGAAGAGTAGCAAATAACAGACATTGCATGCATAGCACTGGCAATGAATATCATTAGCACCCTCACAATAATGTAATCAAAATTTTCTCCAAAAGTGACCAAATCACTGTAAGAATTCTACTGAAAAATTTGTCTGAGGTTTTGCAATGAATAGGATATTTTGTATCATTCTTGCTACTCCAAATTGTGCTGATAATATGCATGACATAAAGTTTTTATACAAATTTAGTAGCCATCTAGCAACAAGGCTATCTTTGCCATGGGGCAATGTATCATTATTGTATAAAACAAGAGCATCATCATCATAAAACAATATACATGTACAGTGCAGTGGTAACAAAAATCATAAGGTATACATCAAAGTGACAATCTGTATAAGAAAAAGAACTTTTCATATTAATAATAATAATAATAATAATAATAATAATAAATTACATAAAACACATGTTGCTGGTTGGTGGGATACTGCATTTGTACCACATTATTTCAAAACTCTCGTTTCATAAGTAAACATGCTCCTTTTTTAGTAGGACCTGTAATAATTATACGTGTACAGTGTCAAGATTGGCTGTTAGAGAGAGAGAGAGGGAGGAAGAGAGAGAAAAGGTTTTAGTGAAAGGAAAATGTACTATTTGGGTTGGTGTGGCTTTTATACAGAAAATAGTTTCAACTCGTGGGCGGGTGTCTAAGACGACTGATGATGTTAATTAAAGTGAGGGCTGGTCCTAGTTTCATCTGGAACCTCTCCATGAGGTGATGCTCACGTAGTAGGAACATGCTCTGTCCGTCGATCTCGTTGTTTGAGAAAGACTCGGAGTACTGGCCATATCCTTGGAGCTGAAGGAACTGAGATACCTCTTCTGCGTCCCATTGGGAGGGTTTGTGGGTGAAGGTCCCTAGCTCCGTTCTATGGCCGACGTGTTTGCGATGAGTGCTCCTTCTTGATCTCCTAGGTATGAAGTCTGATGAATCTAAAAGGGAGAGAGAGAAGACAGGATAAAAAGTGAGTCATTTTAGACAAAATTTGGCCAAAGTCCCTACATGGTCTTTGACTAAATTTCATCAAAAATTAAAAGTAGGGAATTCTACATTTTTATAACTTTTCCTGATACATATACATGTTCTTATGTTGTGTAGAAAGTTTGAGCTGATTCCAATCAAAATTGGATTTTTTATGAATTTTTAAAGTTTCTCCAAAATCGGGCCAAAGTCCCTGTACTATAGTACATGGTCTTGGGCCAAATTTCGCCAAAAATGAAAAGTAGAGAATTCTCCGTTTTTATAATATTTCCTGGTACATATACATGTTCTTATACTGTGTAGCAAGTTTGAGCTGATTCCGATCAAAATTGGATTTTTTATGAATTTTTAACGTTTCTCCAAAATCGGCCAAAGTCCCTGTACTATAGTACATGGTCTCAGGCCAAATTTTGCCAAAATTGAAAAGTAGGGAATTCTCCATTTTTATAACATTCCCTGATACATATACATGTTCTTATGTTGTGTAGAAAGTTTAAGCTGATTCCGATGAAAATTGAATTTTTTATGAATTTTTAAAGTTTCTCCAAAATCGGGCCAAAGTCCCTGTACTATAGTACAGGGTCATGAGCCAAATTTTGGCAAAAATGAAAAGTAGAGAATTCTCAATTTTTATAACATTCCCTGATACATATACATGCTCTTATGTTGTGTAGAAAGTTTAAGCTGATTCCGATCAAAATTGAATTTTTTATGAATTTTTAAAGTTTCTCTAAAATTGGGCCAAAGTCCCTGTACTATAGTACAGGGTCATGAGCCAAATTTTGGCAAAAATGAAAAGTTGTGACTTTTCCATTTTTATAACATTCCCTGATACATATACATGTTTTTATGTTGTATAGCAAGTTTGAGCTTATTCCGATCAAGATTAGATTTTTTACGAATTTTAAAAGTTTCTTCTCCACAAAATAATGTCCTCACCTACTACTGCAGTGGAAGGAGT